CCACATACACCCAGGTGTTCCTTGGTTACTATCTAATGTAATTGTGTATGGGCACCCAGGTGTCCTGGGTTATGGACCTAAGTATAAAGGATTAACGGCTCTGATACATGATGCTTCTTGGGACACTCTGGGAGGCCACTAGGGTAGCTGCTCCTAGCTCTGAATAAAGCCTATTAATTTTTTAGTCACAGCTCCCAGGATCTTTTCCTATTACCTAGCTCATGGATCTGCATGTGAAGGGTTTGTGATCCAGTCTGTACAATGGGCTTGAGGGGTCTGTGAGCCCTAGCCCTAGCAATACACCTCTTAGCACTGTTACAATGGGGGTCAAGCTTCAATGAGTTTTTGGGGGGCATTCAATCCATACCTGGATCCTACTAGAAGCTGTCCAGTGGGACTTGGAGTTCCCTTTGTCTCTGTCTCTTGTATATCTCCTTCACATAATTAGAGTAACAGGTATTCTGCCTGGACAAATACCACCTACCAGCACCCTGCGCCATCATAATCCCATCAGAGAGAAACTCAGCTTGGTTTCTGTAGAGAAAATATAGGAAAATGATCAGGGCTCCTCAGATGTTCAGAATCTTGCTAAGCATTTTATGGAAATATGCTCGTGTGCCCAGGTGTTTCTTGGTTATTGTCTAATGTAGTTGTGTATGTGCACCCAGGTGCCTTGGGTCATCAGATTTAAGTATAAAGGATCAGAGGCTTTGATCCACAGGGCCCTCGGGATGCCCCCTGAGGCCACTAGGGCAGCTGCTGCTAGCTACCTGAGCTTACATCTGAAAAAAGTCTACTAATTTTTTACCCACAGCTCCCAGGATCTTTTCCTATTACCTAGCTCGTGGACCTGCAGGTGAGGGGTTTGTGACCCAGTCCGTACAATGGGGTTGTAGGGTCTGTGAGCCCTAGCTCTAGCAATACAGTTTCCCTTTCAGTAAAGCCCAAGAAGTTAGTGTCCCACCCTGCAGAGCTCTTCTCTCTTTCTCCTCTCTGGAGATCCAATTCATGACCCCCATCTTCTCTGAAGCCCACTTAGAATCAACTGACAAGATGGGAAGAGAGATTTCTTTGGAAATATAATTGTCTGAAAGTAAAAGAAGCATGCAGGTAAGGAAATAGTTAGCCAGCTGGAAGGAAGACTGAGGGAAGGGATCGGGTAGCAACCGTTGATTATGAACCTTCTTTTCTTGGCAGGGAAACTTTCTGTGGGGAGAAGATGCATCTAACTGCTGAGCACATAGTCCATATTCAATTAGTCTTTGTTGGTTGAGGGTTCCTGTGATGGTTTTTAAATGTTCACCAGTTATTGATACTCTTCCCTTCAAAAGGTACAGCCTAATTCTCCTTCCTTTGGATGGAGGCTGGACTCTTTATTTTTTTTAATCTGGGACCTGAACTCATTTCTAATGAACACACTGTGGTGGAAGTGACATGTGACTTCCAAAGTTAGGTGAGAAAAGGTGTTGCAGCTTCTGCCCTGCTGTCTCTTGGATGATTCACTCTAGGAAAGCCAGCTGTTCTGTCATGAGGACCCTTAAACACCCCTGTGGAGGCAACCACATGAAGAGAAACTGAGGCCTCCTCCCAAAAGCCCTCACCAACTTGTTAGCCACATAAGCGAGCCATTTTGGAAGGGATCCTCCAGCCCCAGGCAAGCCTTCAGATAATGGCAGTGCTGGGCCAAGGCTCAATAGTAACCACAGCTTGACTGAGCGCAAACTACCCAGCCAGGATGCTCCTGAATTCCTGTGAGAGGTAACAAATGCTTTTTGATATTTTAAATGACTAAGAGGGAAAAGACATTGCAGGAGGAAAAGGATTTTGCTTCCCGGTTCCAGTGTACTTTTTTTTTTTTTTTTTGGTGGCTGGCCAGTACAGGGAACTGAACCCTTGACCTTGGTGTTATAAGACTGGGCTCTAACCAACTGAGCTAAACAGCCAGCCCAGGTTCTGGAGTGCTTGATTGGCAGGCTCCTGCAGTACAAATGGCTTTGCCAGTGCAAGGCTTTGGTAAGCAGTCAGAGATGCTCTACTGCACAAAAGAATAAGGTTTATAAGATCTAAGCTCTAATTTGCCAAATGCCAAAGGAGAGGTTCAGATGAGACACGCTGTAGGAAGCACCAAAGGCTGGAATAGTTGAAGATCAAAGCGGCAGTGGGATGTGGTTTAACTTTGACACTAGAAGACACAGCCCAGTGGAAAGGAGACGGAAGGCCATTCTAGGCAGGGGGACGGTTGTATGGAAACTTTGGAGGCCAGACTACATACACTTGGTAGGATTAGGGCAGCAATGACTAGTTTGGTTTATAAGTCGGCTTGTGGCAGGCAAGAGGACCAGATTGTGAAGGGCCTTCTATGCGAAGCTAACTAATGTGGCTCTGTCCTGTATAAAAAAAGGGGGGGGGGGCAGTGACTACATCTTCGAGGACACAATTCAAACTGCTTTTGCTGAGAGTACATTTCTACCTGTCAGATCATGTGACTTTGCTTTGAGGCTCAGAAAAAGTTCACTATGGCAGTGGGGAGGCCCTGAAGGTTTTCAAGGATGGTGCAATGTGGGATTCTAAGGTTAGCCTGGAGTGGATAGGGCTGGAGAGGATGGAAACCAGAAGTAGGAAAAGTCCTGATGTGGGGGAAGGGGGAGTAACAGTGGGAATGGGAAAATGGGGTGGGTGTCTGATGTTGGGAATGGCTGGGTGGATGTGGTGGGGAGAATTTGAAGGTGATACCCAATACCTCGCTGGTGACATGGGCACACCAGCAGTGAATGAGGAGTGGGTAGGATGATGCTGACTTTTGACAAGTTCCACTGGGGTGGCTGCAGTGTATCCAAGTAGCAGGAAGGGGCAGCCTCAGGTCTGAACTCAGGAGAGAGTCAGGGATGTTGATTCAGATCTGGTAGTGACTGTCCACTCAGTGGTGATGAGTCAAATGTCAGGAGATAGTGATGAGGATGGTCGCTCGGTCGGAACTGGCTCTCTCTGGTCAGCCCATCCTCATCAACAACCAGACAAGTCATATGACCTTGAGCCAGTCATTTTCCTCTTAGGGTTTGTTCTCCTTCCAGTAAAATATCAGGGCTGGTCCTGGACTAGATCATTATTTTTAAATCCCGAACACTGAGGTTCCATAGCTGGACCAACATGTTCAACTTCCTAAATCAAGTAATAGCAAACTGTGAATATAGCTCCAATTCTAGGTTTTTCTCCCATAACATTTTCTTAAATCATTAGCAACAACTAGTATTTAGTTTCCAGCAAGGACTCACAGATAACACAATGAATGAAAAAGCGGGAAATGCAAATAAATGGGAAAATCTGAAATTGGATGATATATTTGGTTTGACAATCTTCTTGTTTCCAGAGACTTCACAGTTTTATATTACTCACACAATCGCTCTGGTTTCCAAAGCTAAGTTCCAGTGGCATTTCAGGGTACTTCATTAAGGACTCTAGGACTCCCCAGAGCCTATAACCTGAAGAGACTGGAGAATCATTGGACTTCACACTCTCCGAGCACCTTTCCAGTGCTAATCCTTCATTTTCTTAATGACTATTCATAGCTCCTCTGAGTCAGTCTTTGAGCAACACCTGCAGAACATTGTGCCTTATATTCATTAACTCATCTAATCCCCATGTAATCCTCCCAACAGCCTCATGAGATAAGTACTATTATTATATTCATTTTACAGACAAGGGGCTGAGGTTCAAATAGGGTTAATGGCTCGCCTAAGGTCACACAGGTAGTGACAGACCTGGGATTCAAACCCAGCAGTCTGTTTCCAGAGTTCTCACTTGTACCCAATATGTCTGCAGATCTGTCATTAACGCTGTCACCAAGTATTTTCAGTTCTTCCTTGGACATGTGATAAGATTGATCTTCCCTACCCCCTTTGGCCAATGAAATGTGAGCTGAAGTGGTAAGCATCATTTCTAGCAGGACTTTAAAGAGTCAGATATCACTTCCACGTTCCCTTTCCTCCTCTAGTACTTGCAGAAACACAATGAAGGAGCCTCCCTCAGCTGGGTTCCCAGAGTGAGATGATGTGGATCAGAAGCCTACCCTTCCACCCCTCGGCTGACCTGCAATGAGCATGTAGTGTGGATAAGAAATAACCTTTGCCATTTTTAAGCCACTGAGATTTGGGGGTTGTTACTCTGGCATAGCCTAGCCCATCCCGACTAACCCAGTGCTATAATGTCTCCTGTTGATTATCTTTGGCCTGTGTCTCCAAGCCTGCCTTCTCCCAACTCCCTGAAAGTATTAGATTCACATTCAGATTTGATAATGTTAAATAAAATTTGTGGGGCCGGCCCGGTGGCGCACTGCTACAGTGCGCCGCTTGGGAGCGCGGCGGCGCTCCCGCAGAGGGTTCGGATCCCACATACAGACCGGTTCCTGCTCACTGGCTGAGCGAGGTACGGGAGCAACACCGAGGGTTGTGATCCCGTTGCTGGTCCTGGTCCGGTACGGGTGCGACACTGAGGGTTGCGATCTGTTGCCGGACACGAAAAAAGACAAAAAGGAAAAAAAAAAAAATTTGTGAACGTCCATTGGTTTGGACTAGGCTCCTGCATAAGCCTAACAGACCAAACTAATATGGAGTTTAACTATAGTAGCTGAGCTTTAGTTAATTGCAGGAGGCTCCATGACCAATCAAGCTGTCTCTACACTGCACTTCCATTTCCTGCAAATGCTGTCAGATCAAGTCATTGGTTGGAGTTCTCTAAACCTGCTCTGGTTTGGAACACAGCCCTCTTCACGAATCATTTTGGTTTGTTTGCTTTGTTTTTGCTTTGTTCAAATAAGGTCAGTTAAAATTTAAACTTGTTTGTTTAACAAAAAGCAGCAAGAGAAGAGGGGAATCAGTCCCCAGAACATGGAAGTGGGGATGTGTTTTGGGAGATGTGCCCATGCTGTGTCATGCTCCGGGGCAGAGGTTACGCTGAATGAAATCTCCACCCAGCCCTGAAAGGCCACAAACAGACTCTCAAGCTTCAAGAAGCCTCAAGCTCCTCTCTCATACTCATTTATTGCATCTCCTTAATTTTACTCCCCGTTTCTAAAGTAGGAATGACTGGGCTGGCATGAGGAGGGCCGGGCTCCCACGTCCTGGGGGCACTGCAGGCTGACTATGACTTTGCAGGCCTGGATCTGAACATCCTCCTCAGGGTGGATGACCAGGGCGAGCAGACGGTCTGCCAGTCGTGACTCATCCCCAAAGAGGGCTTCATGCAGGGACCGTTCATTGTAATGCCATTTCACAGCACGGTAGTGGGGTGCATTCCGGCCCTCACTCAGCCGCTCAGCAAACACCAGTACCTCGAACAACAGACTCCCCGGCTGTGTGGACTGGAATAGGGTCAGGAAGTTGGAGTGCACCTGTGATGGGAATGCAGAAAGAACGGGAATGAAATCCCAGGCAAGTTCTAAAATTCTTATTCTTCCATCTTCCTATTGCCTCAACTCCCCAACAGACCTACGTTTCAGACTCAACTGTACAGAAATTTTTTAGTTATCCTTTCATTATCATTCTCTAACTTAACTGCATTGTGGTCATCAAACACGAGTGATACGATAATATGGATCCTGGGAAATTGATTGAGACAAAACTTAAGGCTTAGTGCGTGGTTGATGTTCATAAATATTTTGTGCATGCTTGCGAGGAATGTGCCTTTAATAATTGTAGAACATTCTAGATATGTCTGATTACTCAAGCTTATTTGTGTTATTCACAGCATGTATACCCTTACTAGTATTAGTTTTCTGTCTATCAATTACGGAAAGAGCAGTTAAAATCTTCAAACTCTCTCTGTGGTGGTAGATTTGTTAATTTCTCCTTATAATTCCATCAGAGTTCACCATATATATTTTAAGATTATATTGTTAGATGCATACACGTTTAGAGTTGCTTCATCTTTCTGGTGAACTGAACCACTGATTACTACGTAGTAATCCTCTCTGTGCTTAATAATGCTTTTTGCCATAAGTCATTTTCCCCCTAATATTAAAATACCTACATTAACTTCTGTTTTGTCTCCCGTGTTCCTAACTCAGAGTTCAGAAAATGCCTCAAAGGAGATTCCCCTCCCAACAAAATGGATCCTCGTTCTATTGGGGGAATGCAAGAGAGGATGGTTTTCAACCATATAGTGCAGAGGCAGGAATAGGAATGAGACAATTCATCAGGGCTAAGTGTCTGGAGAAACCATGATTCTTCCCTCCCCAATACCTGAGTAGGCATCCATCAGCCCCCCTTCAGTTTCTTTCTCACCTGGCAGTTGAGAATGTCATAGAGAAGGTCATTCTTCTGTGCCAGGTAGCTCAGCAGTCTTAGGACTTGCACCTGAATGAAGAAAAGGATAAAGCATGAGAAGCAGGTGAGTTGGGCCTGAGCAGGGAAGACATGAGCTTTGGCTCCTCCCCCTCAGCACTCTGCCAGGACTAGTCAGGAGGGTAGGGCCTCGGCCATGGTCCTCAGGCACCTGTGCCAGGATATACTCTGACTGCAGGATCTCCATCAAGGCAGGCATCACCCGTCGCAACTGCGGATGCACATAGTCAGGTAGTGGAAGGCTGTTGAGGAGTCTGAGGCCCGCAATATGCAGATCCGTGTCCCATATGGTGGAGATCAGTTCCAGTACCTTGATGGAGTGTTCCTGGCAGCGGGGAGGGGAGAAGAGAAGGGTCTGAGTGATTTTTATGTGGTGATCCCCAACACTATCTCAGCCTCTGACTTCACTCTCCACTTCTCCCACCCCTGGGCCAAACCCAATAGATGATTCCCCCTAACTTGAAATCCCAACATCCTTTGACCTAGGTGACCATTCCCGCCCCCCTCAAATGCTTTCTTCACTTGGCTTCTCTTTCACAGACTTCTTTCCTAGTTCTTCTAACCAACCTCCTCATCTCTGTCTACATCACGCTTTCGTGATAACATCCAGACTCAAAGTATTAAATACTATCCCTATGCTGATGACTTTCAAGTTTGTTTCCAGCCCAGAGCTCTCCCCTGAACTCCAGACTCACATGGTCAGCTGCCAATTCCACTTCTCTCTCTGAATGTGTAATAATCTCTCCAAGTTAACACGCATTCCTGCCCCTTCCACAGCCTGCCCTGTCTCAGCTGTCGGTTGCATCTTCCTTCCAGTAGCTCAGGCCAAAAATCTATGGCATCCCTGATTACTTTCTTTCTCACACCCCTTTGCAATCCTTCAGAAAATCCTATTGGCTCTATCTTCAAAATCTATCAAAAATCAAGCCACTTCTCACCACCCCCACAGCTACCACCGTCTTCCAGGCCACCACCATCTCTCACCTGGATTTCTTCAATAGCCCCCTGTTTCCTGCTGCCATCCTCATCCCCTTCATCTATTTTCAGGCAGCAGACACGTTAGATATTTCACTCCTCTGCTCAACATCCCCCATTTCATTCAGAGAAAAAGTGAAAGTCCTCACAGTGGCAAAAAGTCCCACATGATCTGCCCCTCTCTCCTCATAGTTCCTTTGACCTCATTTCCTGTTCTCTCCTTTGCTCCATGGTCCCACCACAATGGCCCCTTAGCCAGTACATGCCGGCTACACCCCTTTCTCAGGGTGTTTGCACAGGCTGTTCCCTCTGCTCAGAATGCTCTTCCCTCACCACTCTCTTACTTCCTTCAAGACATTGCTTAAATGTCCCCTTCTCGGTGAGGCCGTCCCTAAGCACCCCCATCCCAACCTTCCTTCTCCATCTTTTTTTTCCTCCATAGCACTGTCACAGGTAACACACTTTTTATTTTAAAATAATTATAAATTCATAAGAAGTTGCAAAAATAGTACAGAGATGTCCCATGTGTTCTTCACCCAGTTCCTCTCAATGGTCACGTCATACGTAATTATAGTACAGTAGCAGAACTAGGAAACTGGTAAACTGTGAATGCACGGTTCTATGTCAATTCATCACTTGTAGGTTTAACTGCCACTGCAGTCAACAGAGAACCATCAGCACTGTCCCATTCCCACAAAGATCTCCCTCATGGGACTCCCTTATCACTTCTACCTGCCCCCAAAGCCCAAACCTCTGGCATCACTAATGTGTCTTCCACTTCTATTACTTTTTTCATTTTGAGAATGCAATATAGTGAAATCATACTTTATGTGACCTTATGAGACTGGTTTGTTTCTGATGGAGTTTGGATGTGTTGTCCCCTCCAAAACTCATGTGGAAATTTGATCCCCAGTGTGGCAGTGTTGGAAACTGATTGAGTCATGGGGGCGGATCCCTCATGGATGGATTAATGCTCTCCCCTGGGGAGGGAGGGGGAAGTAATGAGTGAGTTCTCGCTCTATCAGTTCCCGCGAGAGCTTGTTGTTTATAGGACCCTGGCACCTCCTCTCGCTCTCTCTTGCTTCCTCTTGCCATGTGATCTGCTTGTACCCACTGGCTGCCTGCCGCTTTCCGCCATGAGTAGAAGCAGCCTGAGGCCCGCGCCAGATGCAGCTGTCCCAGATTCATAAGCCAAATAAACCTCTCTTCTTTAAACATTACCCAGTTTCAGGTATTTCTATTATAGCAACACAAACGGACTAAGACAGTTTCACTCAGCTTAATGCCTTTGAGCTCCATCTAGGTGGCTGTGTGTATCAGCAGTGCATTCCTCTATTACCAGGCCGTGCTCCATGGCATGGGCACACCACAGTTTGTTTAACCATTCACTGAGAGACATTTACTTGTTTGCAGTTTTTTTTGGCTATTACAAATAAAGCTACTATAAATAATCGTGTACAAGTTTTTGTGCAGATGTAAGTTTTCATTCCTCTAGGATAAATGCCCAGGAGTGCAATTGCTGATTGGTAAATATATAGTTTTTTAAGAAACTGCCAAGCGGGCCGACCCCGTGGCGCACTCGGGAGAGTGTGGCGCTGGGAGCGCAGTGACACTCCCGCCGCGGGTTCAGATCCTATATAGGAATGGCCGGTGCGCTCACTGGCTGAGCGCAGTGTGGGCGACACCGCGCACCAAGGGTTGCGATCCCCTTACCGGTCACGAAAAAGACAAAAAAAAAAACCCCAAAAAACTGCCAAGCTATTTTCCAGAGCAGCCACTGTACTGTTTTACATTCCCACCAGCAATGTGTGAGAGAGCCACTTTCTCTAAATCTTCACCAGCATTTGGTATTGTCACTAATTTTGATTTTAGATCTTCTAATAGAGGTGTAGTAATATCTCGTGGTCCTAATTTGTATTTCCCTAATGGCTAGTGATATTAAACATCTTTTCACATGCTTATTTGCAATCCATATATCCTCTTCAGTGAAATATCTCTTCATGTCTCCAATTTCTTATTGGATTGCTCGCTTGTTCATTTTTTAAAAACTCAGTTTTGAGAGCACTTTATACAGTCTAGATGAATCCTTTGTCAGATATGTGGCTAGCAAATATTTCCCGCCAGTCTGCAGTTTGTCTTTTCATCCTCTTAACAGGGTCTTTAATGGAGCAAATGTTTTTAATTTTAATGAAGTCCCATTTATTGATTTTTGGGGGTGTCATGGACTCTTCACCAAGCCCAAGGTCCTAAAAGATTTTCTCCTTTAAAACTGCAATACTACCCCCACCCAGGCTTCCTTATCCCCCCTTATTTGTTTTTCTCTGTAGCACTTGCCAACATGAAAACACTATATATTTTACTTATTTGTATATTGCCTGGCTTGCCCCATTAGAATATAAATTCTAGGACAGGGATCTTTCCTGTTCTGCTTATTGCTTTATCTCCAGTGTCTAAAACAGTGTCTTGGCACAAAGTAAGAGTTCAATACACACTTCTTGAATGAATAAAGGGATCTTGGGTTCTGAGATGCAAGATGCTTGGACCGAGAGGTATTACCAAGGACAGATAACTTCACAAGCTGTTCCTCTGCGAATCACGTAAGAAGGAAGCAAGAATCCCCTTTAATACCCTGCTCCCGCCCCTCCATGTCTGCTGAGACCTGAGGACAGGTCAGAAAGAGGAACAGCAGGTGAACTTAAAACTTACAGCGTAAATGACCAGGGTCAGGGCATGCACTTTACGCTGGAGCCTCGAGGAAGACAGGACAGATGGCTGACTGGATGAGGTCCTCTGGAGAGAGTGGTCTGCTTAGGGAATGGGGCAAGCACCATTTTGGATGTGGTAGGTTAGAAGGTCCCTAAGTTGTGTAAGTGCATATGGCCAGTAGCAGGTGGCCATGGGGAAGAAGTCAGGGGAGCCCCCAGGCTGCAGAGACCCAGGAGAACACAACTAGATGGAAATTGAGACCAGGGAGTAACTACTTTCACCCGGAGAGAGAACAGAGGTCAGGTCCTCAGGATACACACACTGGGGAAAGAGGAACAGTGGGTTCAGGCCACCTGCATCAGAATCTCCTGGGGGGCTTGTGACAAACTGAACTCTCTCTGTATGGGGCCCCCAAATCTTCACTTTTAACCAGCTCTTCAGGCAATTCTGATCTGATATGCTTGAGAATCACAGCCTTAGGGAAACTGAAAGGGCAGAGGGATGGAGTAGAGACAGCCAGTAAGTGAAGACCTAAAGACTTTTTTATTCCCCCAAAAAAGTTTGATGCAAAAAATTAAAAAGTGTGAAATTATCAAGTGTTGGTGAGGTTATGACACAAGAGGGACATTCATGCAAGGATGGTGGGGGGTGTAAATTGATACAACCCTTCTGGAAAAGTTGGACATACCTTTGCTCAAGCCACTCCTGCATATACACCCTAGAGAAACTTGTGTCCCAGGGACACAAGGGAAATGTGCACAAGAATGCTCAGCACGGTGTGGGTGCAACAGCACCAGAAACAATGCCACTGCCTACCAATGGGCACAAAGTAGAACAGCCATAAAATAGAATTCGAGGGCTGGCCCGGTGGCGCACTCGGTAGAGTGCGGAGCTTGGGAGCGAGGCGGCGCTCCCACCGAGGGTTCAGATCCCATATAGAGACCGGTCTGCTCACTGGTTGAGCGCAGTGTGGGCGCGACACCAAGGGTTGCGATCCTGTTACCGGTCACGAAAAAAGACAAAAAGGAAAAAAAAAAATAGAATTCGACACAGCAGTGAAAAAGAAGGAAACAGAGCTGCCCAATAAGGATGAATCTTTCAATGAGGGGGTGGGGAGGAGGCAAACCACAGAAGAATATAAACCTCACATTCCCATGCACATGAAGCTTAAACACACCCCAAACTGTATTTGACCTGTGTGTTTAGTGCCTCGCCTTGCCCTGCTAGAACATGCAGGGATACATGCACATCTGGTCAAACTACACAGAAAATCATGCAACTGATTGACCAAATGCACTGCAATGATTGCCTCTGTGGGGAAGAAGTTGAGAGTGGGAGGGACACAGGGGTCCCTAACATATTGGTCACATTCTATGTCCTACCTAGCCTGGGTCTGGTGATGCATGTTGTGTTTTATTGCTATTCTTTCTACCTTACACATAGAAAATATTTGTAAGTTTAAAATATGAAGGAACTTCAAAAATCTCATGCAAAGATATGTATTATTGTTTAATTCTATTTTTCCATGAGCTTTTTGAAGTACCCTCGGTTTTGTTTTGTCTTTTTAAGTCAAATTTAGCAGTGGGGGGGTATATACCAATTTTAGTGACACTGATGTTAATAAGCTCTGATAACCCACTACCATTGGACCAGCCTATTTTCTCTATTTTTGATTTGGGAAAGATCAACTATTTGCTAGAAGGAGATTTGGAGGTCACGGAAGAGGTTATTTTTGGTTTTGCTGTGCAAGATGGGAGGGATTGGAGCGTGCATGGAGGAGGCTGGATCAGATAGACAGGATAATCAAGGAGAGAGGCCCTCAAGGAAGGGAATGGGACGCAGGACTGGGACTAACGCTGACCACAGACAGGAAGAAGGCCATTTTTTCATGGCACCAGCAGGAAAGCAGAAAAGGATGGACATGTTAGCAGATAATGCTGTGGGAAGCGACATCTGGTGGTTTACATGTTCTCTGCAGGGTGGTGGTGAAGGCATCAGTGGTCCAGCCACCAGCCTCTGATCAACACAGGAATGGGGGTGTAGGTAAGAAGAAATACATTTGATCTTTTTCCCCTTTCCAGGCACACAGCTCCTAAAACCTTTAGAATTTCCTGAGTGACAAAGAGTGTTTTTTTTATTCTTTATGAGCCCCTTTTGATCACACCAGAGTTTATGCTAATGAGATGACTCTCAGGAGCCCCTCACACAGTGTCAGGATGGGGGCTGGTCACCAGAAAGACCAAGGTGTGATTAGAGGGTTGGGACTTTCAGCCGTATTCCCTCCCCTCCCCTGCCCCAGGAAGGAGGGAGGGGCTGGAGATTAAGTTCATCGCCAGTGGCCACTGCCTATATAATGAAGCCTCCATATAAAGCTCTAACAGTGGGGTTCAGAGAACTTCCAAGTTGCCTAACATGGGGAGGAGGGCGCCCGGAGAGGGCATGGAAGCTCTGCGCCCCTCTCCCATACCTTGCCCTATGCATCTCTTCCGTTGGCTATTTGAGTTGTGTTCTATATAATAAACTGGCAAATGTAAAGTGTTTTCTTGAGTTCTGTCAGTCATCTTAGCAAATAATCAGACCTAAAAAAGGGGGTTGTGGAAGCCCCCAAATTTACAGCCAGTGGTCGAAAGTCAGACTTGCAAGTGGCTCCTGAAGTGGGGGCAGTTTTGTGGGACTGAGCCCTTAACCTGTGGGATCTGTACTAACTACAGTTACTGTAAGAACTGAATTGAATTGTTGGACATCCAGCCAGTGTTGAGAACTTGTTGGTGTCAGAAAGAACCTCAGGGTGCTTTCTGCTGTTTCGGGTTCAGAGATACAACTAATGCCCTAGATCAGTTGCATCCTGAGATTCAAAGGCTTTCACAATCCTGCTGGGAATCTGACCACCATTTCCCCACTTATTTCTGAGTTACAAACTCAGACCAAGCAAATTTCTGGAACATGACCATTTATCCTCTGCCAATTAAAGGACTTAAGGACCATGGACATCCTGTGTGCTGTGCCCCAGCACTTGCCTCTGGGCTCACCTGGATTTTGAGCCTGAATTTTCTGATGCCAGAAAAAGCTTTAAGTGTGTTCAGAGCTTGGATTTTGACACTGTTGTCCTCGTCATCCAGCATGTAGCCCACCAACCTGATGTCATCGGTAGTACAAGCAGAGGCCTGGAGTGTGGGGACAGATGGAAGAGGCAGAAGAGGGTGTCCTGAGCCCACTGCGCCCATGTCACCAACAGCCCTCAGCATACCCCTCCCACCATCAGCCAGAGAGATGGGATCAGCTGTAACCCCCAGGGGCCAGGCTGGCTAGGAGGGGCCTCCTGCTTCCCTTCCCTCACCTCGGCCTCCAGCAAGTACACACAGCGAGTGATACTGTGCAGGATCATGCTCTTGGCGTACTCATCCTGTTTGCTCTCCAAAGAGTTGAGGAGCCTCCGGATCTCACCTGAGTCCCGCCCGTGCCGCTCTCGCTCGATTGCCAGGCCTAGACAGCCATCCCAGCCCAGTTCAGACTGTGGACTCAGAAGTAATGAAAGAATGGGGTTGGGAAGAGGGGGAGAGGGACCTGGGGACAAGGCTTCCTTGCCTTTTCTGAGGAGGCCTTCTTACTATAGGCAGGACCACCATTTACAGGTGAATATGTGTTAATAACATTAATATTAGATATGGTACAAGGGCACCATATCTAATGTTGTATTGTCCATATCATATTGTCATAGATTTGTCTATTTAATAATCTTCCAGCATATGGCACTAACAAGTAGTTTTATCATAGAGAATATGGCAACGATACTCCAGCAGATGGCAATAAAGAGTCTTGCAGAAGGGGTACCACCCCACTTTGTAAAAAAAGTACCATTTGGACTAATGGAAGCTCTGAGCATGTAGGTCTCCCAATTTTCCCTTTCCTTAAAATCTTGGGTTCCTGGGGCAGGAAAGGGATGGGAGAGCTGCTGATGCCATTTCCAAGAAGTGGAATTCTGGGAGCCAGGGTGAAAATGTAGGATTTGGAGACCTGCCAGACAAGTCTGAGGATCCACTTGAGTGAGATCTGGGGACCCTGAACTAGCATCAGGGCTTTGCTTAGGGTGCTGCAGGGTAGGCTTGAAGATGGAGAAGAGAAAGACGAAGGAGAGAGGAACTTCGAGGCATCACCTTTGGGCCCTCCCACAGTGGAGGCCTCGGGAGCAGGTACCTCCTGGGGCAGAGCCCTCTCCCCAGGGCCCGCACACTCACGGGCGATGCAGATGGGAGAGTTGGTACACAGGGGCGGTTGGCATTTTATGCCAGCCTTGATGGCCTTGTAGAGCAGGTAGATGGCCCCAGCACCCATGGCCAGGCTCACTACACTTTTGCGGATGTCCAGTTGCCCCAGGCATCGGGGAACGCACTTGCCCATGTCTTCAGCAGTGCCTCGTGCCCGGGTGAGCTCGGCCCAAGGCACCTGGGAGGAACCTTCCGGAACCAGAACTCTGGCAGGGCCAAGAACCAAGGTACCAGATTCGGAATCCAGGCAACAAAGGAAACTGGAGAGATGGCATGGAGGGTGGTGGTTGGGAAATGGGGCAGCCAGAGGTGCTTAAAAGGAGGTGCAGCTTTAGAGGCTGCAGGAGATGATGCCTGAGACTTTAAGGGACTAAAAATGCAGGGCAGGAGAGTCATTCACATCCCTTTTTCTTTAGGGGAGCCAGGTTGGTGGGGCCCCAGCAGGCATCTCAATGCTGCCTTTCCTCCATTAGAGGGCAGCAAAGGTTCATCTCGGGAGGGGTGTTTGGGGTGTGCCCACTGGCAGCCCTGTTCCTTCACTTCTCTGTCTTTCCACCACAGATCTACCCCTGGACTTCAGGCTGTTTCTTCAGGCAGGGACCTCTGCCCCACTAGAAGATGAAAAGGAGGGGAGCACCTTATAAAGTTGTACACAAGTCTTGAGGCAAATCCATCATTTTCCAGCATCTGCATGTTGTTCTGGAGTTTACCTGTCTCATGAAAAGCTCTTGAAGACAGTTGTCTTTGTGTCTCCAGCATCCAGCACGGAGTCCAGCACTTAATACTTAAGTCATCTTCTGTCATTTGAGAATTTGGGGACAGAACAATGACAGAGAGTCTGGAAACTGGGGCCTGTCTAACCAGAGTGACCCAGGAGGGACTGGCCTTGCCTGGGTCTCATTTTCTGCATTTGTAACCCGAGGGCATCAACATTCACCAGTCTAAAACTCCAAGATTAAAATGTGGGTAGGTCTGTGCCTTTCAGCTATGGGAGGCCTAAATCTGGGAGTAGCACCCCCCAGCCTCCCCACAAGGCGGATGAGGATTGAGACATCCTCTGCAGTCAGAAAATGCTACCACCCCAGAATATGGGAACCCACTTTCGGAGGCCTTGATCTCTACCACTAGGATGGGGCAGGTGAGACCAGACCCTTTTCTCCTCCCCACTAGTCTCCCCACTCCCTCCGGCCTCACTCTCTGGTGAACCGGGAGATGACAAGCCCCAAGCTAGAATCAGGCCCAGAGCCAGGGCTGAGCACAGTTGCACCAAAACAAGGTTTCATCTGCCTGGCTTTGAGCACCTGTTGGGAGAACTGGGACAGAAGGCTCTGGGTCCTTGGCTGCACCTGGGGTGGAGGGAGGTGGGGCAACAGGGCAACAACATCTCCAAGGCCAGCTAGGCCTGCCACCTCAGAGCCTTGGCCCATCACACCCTCGGCTGCAGGCATGGAACTCCTGGGCGGCCATTCTCTTCCTGTCCTCTCTTCCATCCTCAGCCCTCCTCAAAGGTCATTCCGGGCAGTCTATCCAGCCCCAAGGTGGGTGACCACATGGACTCCGAGATGAGGGATGAGTAGAGGTCCCCAGAAGCCTCCTCACTGCTATGGAACCACCCATCATGTCCCATGAACTCTGCGCAGGAAATGGCTGCCTTGTGGGGATTGTTGTTTTAGGTTCTACGCTACGTTGGTGAACCTAAGAACAGATCCCTCAGAAAAGGTCCCCACTCTGCCCTTCTCCAAAGTGGGGCCCATAGTTACTGCTCCCTCCATGCCATGGAAGTGATTCTGAAACCCTCACATCCTTAACAAACATGATACTCACCTGTTCTTTAAAGACCTCCAAAGAGAGTTCTTTCTTGGCTGTAACTTAACTCCCTCCTGCTACACCTAAAGCCCTAGTTCTGCCCTCAAATGATGCAGTAGGATTAGAGGCAGTGTCATCCCCAGGGTGACACTTTCACTAGTCCATAGCACAATGAAAAAATAAAGACAAAGTAATGCCTGTTCGTTGGTATAAAGTCACTGATTGTCTTTCCTTTGGAATGACTGTTTTTGATTCAGGTGGTGGTGTTCCTATTTTGAAAATTAAAATGTATTTTCTTTTGAAATGATGGTGATAACAGATTGTAGGTGTGTTTTGAATTTTCTCAGGGAGCATAAATTAAAAGCTGCAACTCTTTGTGTGAACTTGGCTTTTGTTTATTTTGTTTTTTCTGTCAAACCCAGAAATCTGGAACCACTGGCTAGAGAAAAGTCTGAGAGTTAATATACACACAGCCCGCCGTGAGTTTCTAACCTGCCCTCGCCAAGGAAAAGGACACACTTCTTTGCCACCTATGCCAGCTTTTTACCTTCAAGCCTGACATTCTCATCATTTTAAGTGCTGTTTAGTTTAGTGAATGAGTGAGTGTGGCCTTTAGCCAGACTGCTAGGGTTCAAAACCAGTTCAGCAAGTGACTTAGCTTTGTGCCTCATTTTCCCCACCTGTAAAATGAGAATAATAATAAAACCTACTTCATGGGGTTGTTTGTGAGGATTAAGTAAAGCACTTGAAAGCAGTGCCCAGGACACAGAGCTCAACAAATGTTGACTACAATGATCTGAGGGTACTTCAAAAAATTAACGGAAAAAATAAAATTGAAAGATAATACAAATCTGTCCGTGAACTTTTTGAAGTACGCTAATTATTATAAGCAGGTTTCACCTGGACAAAAATGTTGGGCATGGAAGGCAGTGAGAACACAGATGGTAGGACTCCACGCATCCTGGCCTGAAAAGCACATTATTCAACTGCTCTCACTCACCCACCACCCCTCACCCTGGTCTTTTTAAGGCTAATCAGTCTCAACTCCTGTGACCCATTAACTGCCTTGAGTGACACTGAAGTCCTTTTTGAAGCCTCGACAAATACCTAAATCAAGAGCTTCCTCCCTGCCCCTGCCCCCCCAGCCCATTCCCCTGAGCTCCTAGGTGTTTCTAAAAACCATTCAGCCATCCGTGAAACCCTGAGGCTACTTCCTCGTTCTCTTTACCAGTATCCTGGCAGTGGATGTTTCAGACTAGTTAATTGGAGAAGCTCCAGCTGCTATCGGGGGCCTGCTATGAAAGACACCGCGCTAGGCCGTTACTGACGGTGACCGTTCCGTGGCCCGGCGCGTGTGCGCACCAAAGCTAAGCGGAAATTACCCTACCGTACACTTCAATGAAAAGCCCTTTGGAGTCAGACCGGCTTGAGCTCATAATCCCAGCAGTTTGGAGTCTGGACAAATTCCATAATCCGAGCCTCAGATTCCTCCTCCAGAAAACAGTCTATTAATGCCCATCTACTACCTGGAAATGCCGCTGTCAGGAATGAATGAGAACGTGTGTTGTTACTCTCGGTGCACAGGGGACGCTCAACACGTGCGAGCCTCCCCCGGAGAAAGCGAGAAAGCCGAGAGATGAAAGGCTGGGGGCCGCCCGCGCCCTGACGTGGATGCCACACTCCGAGGCCATCCTCTCCCCAGCTAGCGCTCACCCCGGCCCTGGCACCCGATTCGGGCCTCTGGGTAGCTCGTTACACCGGCGAAGGCGTGGCGATCGGGAGAAACTGAGCGAAAGCACGGGGAGCGGAAGGGCCAGAGCCCCCAGAGGCGGAGGCGCCGGGGCTGAGCCCGCGCCTTTCCCCGCCCCGAGCCTCCCCACGTCTTGCGCTCCCTCCCCGGACTACCTCCCCCCGCGCGCATCCGGCGGCGGGCACAGGATGTTCTTTCGCTCCGTCCTCCCCACCCGCCCCCGCTCACTTTCTCCTCGCTCCCTTCCCCCACTCCCGCCGCGCCCGGCGCCGGCACCTTGTTTAACTCCTTCTCTCCCGAGCGCCTCTCGGGGGAGGGGGTGGCCCCAACCGCCCAGCCAGGACGCGGAAGGGGTGGGCCTGGGCTGAGCCCCGGCCCGGGTTCAGGATCCTTCGGCCCGTCGGGGGTGCAGGGGTGGAGAGAGCTCCCTGGGACCGAGGCGGACCCCCGCTAGTTCACTAGTGCGCGGGGGGTGCCTGCACCCTAATGAGCCGCGCGACCAAGGGGGCGGCCCCGGTGGGCGTAGTTAGCTAGTCCAGGTCTGGCGGGCAGAGGGTTCACTCGAGGGCCCTCAACCCATGCTGCCCCAAGGTTCCCGTAAGGTGGGCCCCGGACTCTGGGGGAGCATGAGGGGCCACGCCCATGGCGCACGTCACTGTTTCCAAGGTAACCGGGGACAAGGGAAATGTGGGCTAGAGGAGCACAGGTAATGGAGGCTGCGCGACTCTGGGACCGGGTCGGGGTGGGGGTGGGGGTTTCTTTTTCTTTACTTTTTTTATTTGCATATTCATTATTACAAATTGTAATTCTTCTTTATTCACCTTATCCGACCAATCACTTCCCCACCAAGGGGCGGGCTTTTCAATCTGCTTCTTCACTCGCTCAAGTCCAGGAAATCAAGTGAGGGGCAGCTACTGCCCCTCAACAAACCTTTACTGAGCTTTGACTGCCTGGCGCCATGCTTGGGCGCTGGGATAACGTGCTCGGGATGGCCTGCTCTCATCGGTTATAGAGAACTTGGGTAGTGTGACCACCCGTCCAGGGTGACATCCCTGGAACCGGCGTTATTATTAATAGTGACCCTTTTCACGCTTAAAGTATCCCGGTATGGGCGGTAGTTAAGGAAGACCTTGTCCCCCAATTCAGGAAAGTCTCCAACCGTGCCATGCCGGGAAGGAAGACAAACTGTTTCTATGCTCACCATGCAACAGGCACTTTCCTGGCACTTTGTATTCTCTGTAATTTTTGCCCCTCATTCTACAAGGCAAGTATGACTAGTGCCTTTTACAGATTAAGAAACTGGTTCAGAAAGGCTCAGAGGTTTACTCAAGGCCAAACAGCTAAGGGTTGGAACAAGGATCCAGACCCAAATCTATATGACCTCCAAAGTCTGCATGCCCTCCCTCATGCTTCCTTCTCGAAATAAATAGATGGTATAAAACAAATAAAAGACACTGTCCCTGCCATGAAGGAGCTTATAAACTACGGGGAAAGGAGATGAAAATACTACAGAACATAACTAAGAAAAAAACTATAGAAAAGATGGAAGGCAACTCATAAGGCTCAGAGGGAAGTTGATGACAAAACCATCAAAGTGGGGTGGAGATTATAAGAGCCTTCCTGCAGGAGGTAGACTTTGAGCTGGATCATGAAGTGGTGCTGGGGTCAGTATCACCGGGTATTTGTGTGTATTGTGTGTAAGATGTGGTGTCAAGGAGGAGAACAGTCTAAGAATATCAGACCAGGGATCCAGGCAGGCTGGAATCTCCCAATGGCAAGATCCCTCTGTAAACCCCAAAGCCATTGGTTGTGCTACTCTCCTTTCTGCCTTCTACCCACCTCTGGCTTTGTCTCTTACTGGAGCAGAGGCTCCCAGCAGGCAGCTGCACTCGTTCCACTCTGCACCCAAGGTCTTTGCAGTTTGTATTGGGAGCAAACTCCCTGACGTTATCTGAAGATTTGGGGGAAATGAAAAATAGTGGCTCCTCAAAACAAAAGGGCCTGAGTGAGCATCAGGAAGCCAGTAGGCTTGGCAGGAATGGGGAGATCAAGTCAGGAGAGAGAACTGGAAAGATGAGAAGGGAACGTTACCAGATGGATGGGTTGGGGAGCATTTGCTGCCCTCCTGCTGTGCAGCAGGCACTATGCTAGAATCTGGACACGCCATGAATGCATCTGGGTCTCTTCATACAGAACACACAGGCTAGCAGCTGGTGTACCCAGTGTGCTTGGTTGAGGAGTCTGAAGTTGATAACATGTACATAAATGGTGTTTGAGAAAGATTATTCCAGCAGGGTGTGTAGGAGGAAGGAAAAACCTGAGTCAGAAAGGACAGTGTGGCAGCTGCTGTGGGAATTTGGGCCAAAGGTGCAATCTATGGGGTTGGAGAAGAAGGTGTGAACAAGAAAAGTAATGAACAAACAATATTTTTAAATAAAAGCAACAAAGGGAAGAATCTGTAGAATTTCTTAACAGATCAGATATATATGATGGGGAAGGAGAGAAAACAGTTAAACATTAATCCACCTTCCTAGAAAGTTT